TGGGTGGGCATCATCCAATCAGCCCAGGGCCCAAATAGAACAAAAAGGCAGAGGAAGGGTGAATTCACTCTCTCTGCTTGAGCTGAGACATCCATCTTCCCCTGCTCTGGGACATCAGCACTCCTGGTTCTCAGGCTCAGGGACTCAGGCTTACACCATCCGGTGCCCTGGTTCTCAGGCCTTCCAACTCAGACTGAATTACACTCCCAGCTTTCCTTGGTCTCCAGCTTGCAGATGGCAGACTGTAGGCCTTCTCAGACTCCATAATCACGTGAGCCAATTCTTATAATCAATCTCCTCTTAGACATTATCTGTCTACCTTTCTACCTACCTACCTACGTATCATCTATCTGTCTATTTATCTGCCTTTCTATCTATCTATTCTATTGGTTCTGTTTCTCTGGAGAACCCTGACTAATATGGCTATTGATATAAACTATTGCACTGAAAGGATGAGAAGGGGGCAGGACGAGGACCACAGCAACAGTCTGAGAAGTCAGCGTTGTCTGCTGGCTCCTCAAGGTCCGGGTGCTCATCAAGGTGAGGAAGAACATGGAGCCTACAAGTTAACAAGGACCATAAAAAGATGACGTCAGCAACTAGAGCTCACTCTCGGGTACTTACTGCAAAGAAGGTCAAGTCCTCTGCCTTATATACTTAACTTCAGCCCTACCCGGTGTCCTTCTACAACCATGAGATGTGTTTAGTTTCAAAACATCAAACCGGAAGGATTAACAGTACGATTTATTGAACTTCAGTATACTATAGGAGCAAACAAATAATACATATACTTGAAAGGTAACCCTTCTGTCCTAAGAGAGCACGCTGTGGTTCAAGGACTCGAGACAGGCTTCCTCCACCACAGCACTGAATGGAAACCAAGCGCTCGCTCTGGCAAGTCAACAGTCACACAGAGCTGACCCCGTCCACTATCTGATCCCCTCTAACCCGACTGTCCACTTTCTCAATGGAATGACAGGAGACAGAGCTTAAAACGTCAGTGAGCAGAAATCATCTCTCCTCATCTCACCAGGACCCTCTAAGGGAAGAAGTTCTCTCAAGGAAGCTAAAGAATGAACACCATCAGTGGGTCAAATCTGTGGACGAAGCATAACCCTGGTGCCACTCTCTCTGTTCTCCAGAAGTATGTTACTGGGTCTTAAAGACATCACAGAAATTTGCTTTAAGGAAAATCACAGCTTTCTTGATTAGTATCTCAAAGGCACTTACACACATTTTCAATTAGGAAGATGATTGAGTGATGAAGAATAACACTGATCCATTCTCTTAACCTGACTGACCAAAACCCTGGATTTAAAACAGCACGGATTTTAAATGGCACTGCCTCTCGTCAAGAGAGCCGATTCTCATTAGTCCAGAGCTTGGCCACGGTGACTGGTTCCACTGCACATTTTCAAAAAGCAGATTCCACATCACCCATCTCCACGCACACAGTCTTTAGTTGTGAGTAATACTCAATTGTCACACGGCCATTCTCTCTGCCAAACCCTGAAAGGAAGAGAAAGGGTCAGGATGAGCCATCACTGCAATAGTCTGAAAAGTCACACGGATTTTAGAGATGCACATTGCTTCTCCGGGCTGGAGAAGAACACAGAACCTAAAAGTTTTGGGATTAAGTCCTCAATTGCATACATTATCTGAGGAGTTACGCAGGGGAAAAGTGACCCTCTGGCCTTTGGGGATGGGGACAGAGAAATCCTCAGGTCTCATTTCTTACCAATACGAATCTTAATTCCAGGTATTTACTACTCTGGGTTGAAGTCTGAAAAGGTCCAGACTTTCTTATCAAGCTTTAAAGCATTCTTTACAACAATCTACCTGATGCCTTTGAAAATCGGTGTTAACTTAAGACTGAACTCTAAATAACAGGTTTGGTCACCTTTTCTTACACTAAACCTGTGAGAGCAGCCTGCTACTTACCCCTGCCCACTCACAGGGAGGAGGGGACTCTCCAGGTCCCTTGACGTCCCAGACATTGCCTGATCTCTAGGTCACAGGTTCTAAGGACAGCATCTCATGCTGGTCCCTCTTGTGCATCCTGCCCCAGACAAAGGTGGGCTCTGCCTCCTGAGGGCAAGGCCCAGTTCCCGAAAATGCACATCTCCAAGGGGCACCATTCAGAAGGTGACACACACAAAGGTCTGGGCGAGGCCTCATTCTGTCTTTTGTTCCTCCCCAAACCCTCTAACACGGAGCTGGCCGGGTATGTTAGGCCAGGTACTGCTCTGCAGGTCAGGTCATCTTTCTGTCTCTCTCACCCCGTGTAGGCACGTCTGTGAGCACTGATCTGAAGATTTAGATTTGGGGAAGGGGAGGTCGGCCTAGGAGGCCTCATGAAGGCCTAAGCTGCAGATTCCAAACAAACTTTTCCCTGCGCTGAGGGTTAGGTACTAATAAAACAACACCTTGGCTCCCACTCTGCCTCTGGGCCTGTGTGTACATCTCCTCTGGGTACCCCACAGGGACGAGGATGATCACTGGAGGATGATTAGGGAATACCAGGATAATACCAAACAGTATTGCCAAATTAACACCCACCATCTCATCAGCTTGCATCAGGGTTTACATGTTTGCCAACACTGTGATAGTCATAAATATTTGCCAAGAGGGGTCAGACTCTTCAAATGGGCCTCTACAATTCCAAGCCAATTTCCATAGAGAAGAGTATGAGAAATCAGTGAATATTACAGGCCACAACTCCAACGAAAGAACCTCTAAGTAATGGCTATATTCCTGATGCTTCAAGTCTCCTCCTAACATGCTAGACTTATAAATTTGCCATGTTAACATGTCTGATAGATTGTCATTATTGAATGAATGAAATGAATGCACAGGGGCTTAGGGAAAACATTCCTATATGCCATCCAGTGTAATAATAATGACTACAATTGATTGTGAGAGGTTAGATTAAGGGATTTTTTCTTTCTTTCTTTCTTTCTTTATTTATTTTTGAGAAAGATCAGCCCTGAGCTAACACCTGCTGCCAACCCTCCTCTTTTTGCTGAGGAAGACTGGCCCTGAGCTAACATCCATGCCCATCTTCCTCTAGTATCTATGTGGGACGCCCACCACAGCATGGCTTTCCAAGCGGTGCTGTGTCTGCACCCGGGATCCAAACCTACGAACCCCAGGCTGCCGAAGCGGAACGTGCAAACTTAAGCACTGCGCCACTGGGCTGGCCCCTAAGGGATTTTTATTAATTTGGCATAATAGGGAAAACAAAATATATGCTTTCTGAGATACTACTTTAGAGACACTTTACCTAAAAGGAATCTAAAAACTCCACAGTGGATGGTGATGAACACCCCAGTTTAGAACCTCTAAGAGTGGTTTTATGTTTACAGCTACCACAGATTGTGAAGAAAAAGTAATCCTACCCACAAGATAAACCTTTTGAGATGTATATCAGCAGTTCACAAGCCAGGCTACACATGAGAACCTTCTGGAGAGCCTTTGGAAAAAAAAAAAAATGCTTGGCTTCCACTCCCAGAGACTGATGTGGTGGGTCTGGGGAGCACCAGGAATCTATATATTTTCCCAGGTGATTCTGATATACAGACACGTTTAGGAACCTGGTCTACAAGGACTGAATTATGACCGGTAACTCCAGAAACCCGGGTTTGCTCTGACAATCCCCAGCTCCTCACCTGATTTCTTATATCCACCAAAGGGCAGCTCCACTGGGCTGACATTATAGTTGTTAATGAAGCACATTCCAGCCTGAAGCTCAGCCACCACTCTGTGAGCACGCTGGATGTCCCTATGAAGAAAAAGAAAACTGCGTTGGTTATTCATAGTTTCTTTTGCTGCTACTTTAACAGGAAAAGTTAGACTGCCAGTTCTAAGGGTCTCAAAATATTGCCAAATTCTTATTTCTTCAAAATATGTTTTAAAATCTTGTGCCATCCAGGCAAAATAGATAAGAATTGGAGTTTTATAGTCTCATCCAAAAGCACCTATAAAGTAAGTAGCAGCAATACGGCGCCAAAACAATTCAATGGGGGAAAACAGTCTTTTCAACAAATAGTGCTAGAACAACTAAATATCCACATGCAAAAGAAGGAAGGAAGATCTTTCTCTTACACCACATACAGAAATGAACTCAAGCGGATCACAGACCTAAAACGTCAGAGTGAAAACCATACAACTCTTCGAAGAAAACAGGAATAAATCTTTATGACGTTGGGTTAGACAAACCTTCTGAGACATGACACCAAAAGTAACAGATAAGAGAAAAAATAGAATAATGAGACTTATCAAAATTAAAAAATTTTCTGCTGCAAATGAGGCTATCAAGAAAGTGAAAAGACAACTCACAGAAATGCAAATCAAAACTGAGAGACACCACTTCACACCCACAAGGACGGCTACAATCAAAAGGACAGACAGTAACAAGTGCTAGCTAGGATGTGGAGAAACTGGAACCCCCATACATGGCTGGCGGGAATGTAAAATGTGCTGCCACCTTGGAATACGGTGTGGCAGCTCCTCAAAAAGTTAAGAAGAGTTACCACATGACCCAGCAATTCCACTCCCACTTATATACCCAGCAAAAATGAAACATATATCCTCATAAAAACTCATATACGGATGCTACGTATTCGTAATAGCCAAAAGGTAGAAACAACCCAAATGTCTATTAACAGGTGCACAAACAAAATGTTGTATTATTCATACAATGAAATATTACTCAGTAACAGGAAAGAATAAAGTACTGATACATACTACAACATAAATGAACCCTGAAAACATTATGCTAAGTGAAAGAAGCATCACAAAAGGTCACATACTGTACGATTCCATTTATACAAAATATTCAGAAGAGACAAATCTACAGAGACAGAAAGTAGATCAGTGACTGCCAGGGACTAGGGGGCGAAGAGAATGGGGAGTGAATGTTAATGTTCTTGGGATGATGAAAATGTTCTAAAATTAGATTTGGTGCCAGTAAATATACTAAAACCCACTGATTTGTACACTTTAAATGGGTGAATTGTACGGTACATGAATGATCCAAACAAAGCTGTTTAACAAAAAGCAACGCATACCGGAGCTACCCTCCTTTGCAATTGGCCTTTGTCTGTATTTCGGTCGCAAAGAAAGCAAAAGCAGAGACTTCACTCATTCAATCCTTAAATTTAAAAAGCACCTCCTCACAGGATTTTTAGGGCAGTGAAACTACTCTGTAAGATACTATAATGGTGGATGCATGTCATATATTTGTCCAAACCCACAGAATGTGCACCACTAAGACAGAGCCCTGAGATAAACTGAGGACTTTGGGTGGTGACGATGTGTCAATGTAGGTCACCAACTGTAACAAAGGTAGCACTCTGGTGGGGGATGTTGATAATGGGGAGGCTATGCATGTGTAGGGGCAGGGGGCATATGGGAAATCTTGGTACCTTCTCCTCAATTTTTCAGTGAACATAAAACTGCTCTGAAAAATAGTCTATCAAAAATAAAAAGCAGCTCCGCAATCTTTGAGAAGCTATGACATCAGGTCCTTAACGGAGCCTTGGGTCTTTCTTCCCAGGTTCCTGACCAAAAACTACAAAAAAATTTACCCTTATATATCACCAAGGAAGCAGCATAATCCCAAGTGTAAAGCAGTCTTAGAAAATGGCCTACTACAGCCAAAGACTAATCAAAGTTTACGTATAATCGAGCAATCTGCAATCATTTTCAAAGAAATTTTGCTCGCAAGTCACTTTTTGCTTTTATGATAGTGGTTCAAGTTTACAAACAAAGATATTAATTACAGCATTACTTACAATAGTTAAAATCAGAAACAGCACCCTAAACATACAACAATAGATAAAAGATCTACATGTGTTACAATGCATTCCAGTTAGGAACTACTATAACGCCACTAACCATCATGTTTTTGAAGCATACTACCCAGTATTTACTTGCTTATAGGGTTCTAAATTCCTTGCCGTGTATGTTTTAAAAGGCTCCTAACCCAATACTTTACGTAGATCAGGATCTTATTCATCCAATGAATGAATGAAAAAAGACAGACTTTTCATCAATAAAGTTTACAGTTCAATTTAAACTCAGTAGCAGCATTCTCTGGACATGCAGGGCTAAGTACAAAATGCTATTTTGGCATCTTCTGACTTTACTGAAGCAAACAGAAAATGCTGATGAAAATGTAGTGAGGCAAACTCCAGTGAGAGAATAAGATCAATTAAACATCTAAGCAGTTACTGCAGCTCCATTTCTTCAGAGCTGCTTGGGGCATCCTTCCCCACGTACCTGGTGAAGACACCAGCAGCTAGTCCAAAAGAGGTATCATTGGCTCTCTCCAGAACCTCAGCTTCAGTGTCAAATGATAAAATGGACATAACTGGTCCAAAGATCTCTTCTTTCACACAGGTCATGTCATCTCTGCAATTAGCTGCAAACATTATAATAAAACCAAACATCAGTGAAGGAATTATTATTCCTGGCACTTGAAAACGTCTTCTTGTTCATGGTAAACAGTGAAATACAGAGCTTTACAGAAACGTCAATATGACATTGCTAGTGTGAATATAAATTGGAAGATCTTTTCTGCATGGCAATTTAACAATAGCTATTAAAGAGCTGTAGTCTTTGTGTAATTCAAATCCACTTTTTTAAATTTATCATGAGGAAATATCTAATGGGGTGAACAAGGATGTATGTATAAGGATTTTCATCACAATATGACTTATAATAGTGAAAACCAGAAGCAACAAACTAAACATCCAAAATAAATGGAATGATCACATGAACTATCCACATCCCAATGGTGAACTTTTATGAAGCTTCTAAAAGTAATGTTTTTGAAGAAAATTTAATAAGTAAATGCTCATGATAAAACATTCACTGAAGAAGATACAAACTGTATAGGATATTGTCCCAATTTCTGTTAAAATGTTACACATGATTAATTTTTTTCTACTTTTCCACATGTTCTTAATAACTGTGATACGAATTAGAAACAATGCTATAAAAAAAGAAAATCCACTATATAAACACAAACCTAAATAATTGAAGGGGTGTTCACTTTATACGAAAATGTACTTAAGTTCCTTAAAGTGGCTAATTCCCTAAAATTATTTAATTCACACTTGACATTTTAAAATACCCATATCTAAAGAAGCTCTTATATCTAGATGTCTAATCCCGAGCCCCAGTAAGTCCCAAGAGAGTGGTGCATTTACTTGCATCGTAGCTGAAAGCTGAAAGCTTATGTCAGTGCTGGTAATCACCGCATGGAGTAAGACATGTTGCTTAAAAGTTGTGTTATACACGTAAACAACGTGGAGGCCGAAAAAAAGCTTGAGAACCCTACTCTAAATACCAGCTTTGGGGCCAGCCCCGTGGCCGAGTGGTTAAGTCCGCACGCTCTGCTTTGGCAACCAAGAGTTTCGCCAGTTCAGATCCTGGGCACAGACACGGCACTGCTCATCAGGCCATGCTGAGGCGGCGTCCCACACAGCACAACCAGAGGCACTCACAACTAGAATCTACAACTAGGTACTGGAGGGCTTTGGGGAGAAGAAGAAGGAGAAAAAAAAGATTGGCAACAGATGTTAGCTCAGATGCCAATATTTAAAAATAAATAAATAAATAAATATCAGCTTTATACTAGCCCAAAGTGTAAAAACCAACCACTCATACATCTACAAAGATGATGTCTAAAATCTCCTACGAGATGGATTAGAGCCGGTGTATACAAAGTAAGAATAGCACACTGGTCACCTGAGTGTTAACACTGCACTGTAGGGACACATAAACTATCTTCAAAGACATATTAAATAATTCTTGGATTGAGTTTAAGGATCGTTTATGATGTTCTAAGTCTTTGAAAAGTAGTAATCCACATCTAATTTTTAGGAAAATTGCTAGCCAGAATATTAAATTACCCAAGACAATTCATTACCCAATAGTCCCAGAAAATACTTTATCATCTTATGCAGGCTGATAATGCCATATGGCTGTGTGTGCAGTGAGTTCTTGGCTGGAGAGTCAAAGAGGTGAGGGGATAAGGTAGCAACTGACATATAACAACAGGAAGGGTTCCTGCCGGAAACGGCTCACTCACTATACTGTAGCCCCCAAATCTCAAGGAAACGAATCTAAAGATCTAGACTCTGGAGTCATTCTCAAACTTCAATGTGCATAAAAATAAACTGGGGACTTATTAAAATGCCGATATCTGGGTCCCACCGCCTGAGAGTTACATTCAGAGGTCTAGGGCAGGGACCAGGAATCTGCCATCTTAACAAGTTTTCCAAGTAATACTGATGCCCTGGACCACAAACCAGGCTTTCAGGCTCACTAGAATAAAGTTATGGTAGTTAGCTCCCTAATCTTTGCCTTGGTTCACAGCTTGTTTAAAAGTAAGTTTTTTTTCCTAATTGTAAAATACATGGTCTCTGTAGAAAATCTGTAATAATCAGAAATGCACAAAGTATAAAGAAAATCACCTTTAACCTCAGCATCCAGTGAAATCCACTATTAATATTATGATGCATACTCCATTCCTTCTTTTTCCTATGTGCATATTTGGTTTTTAATAGATTTACGATAATACCATATAATGATTGTTTGATCTATATTTTTATTTTAAAATATACTGTAAGCCTTTCTTACTCATCTAATAACTACAAGCTAATCCATGGTATGGATGTTAGGTTCGAGGCTTTTCAACATGAGCAAATCTCTCTTTGGCAAGGGCTAAAGGCCAACCCACATCAAATATCAGGTGTTGAAACTGATATGTCTATCACCGTAGGGACAAAAATCAGCTAAATCCATCTTCAAGATAAGGTGTAAGGAATTATACAACATAATTCAACCTATATATAGTTTTTTCTATAATAATCATTATTTTAATGTTTTAATAGTAATTATAATAATTTTATAATAGTTTAATTGTATAATTTAAAATAATTTATGGTTTTTAAGCCTATAAAACTACAATATCTTAGAGAGGTGCTAACATACATTATAAAACGATAGAGAAAAGCATGAGAATGACAATAACAACATCTAGAACAGTGGCCCCCCCGAGGTAGGAGGGAAGTAAATGGGTTTGAGGCCAGAAGGATGACCATATCCTTGATTGTTCAAACCAGGAGATATTTAAGATTGAAAGAAGGTGCTGAAAATTATTAAATTACATAATTTTAAAAAATATTAACATACTGTCTGACAAATTATTTTTTTATATTGATGACCTATAGTTCAAAGAAAAACACATTCTTTACCAACTTTCTTGAGAAATGAAATTCATTACTTTTTAATCAAACATGCACTTTCATTTTTTTGAGCTCTTCGCTTCCAGGACAAGAGGTGTACACTGAATAAGTCCCAGGCGAACTAACACCTATGGTCATCCAAGGAGGTGGGGACACACAGGAGGCTTCAAAGGTGATACCAAACTTCTACTTCTTAAATCTGGGTAGTGGGGACACACAGTTTGCCAACCCTCACTTTACACCATATACATAGTTTATAAAGACTCTTTTATATCTGACATTTAATTCAAACTGTTTAAAAGCAAACAAGGAGACATACTTAATATACAAGGTCTCATGTAATACCCATCCTTTAATTTGGGGTCTTCAGGTACATACAGGTCTCCACCACATAACACTTTAGCACCCTGTCAAAAAAGAAAAAAAAACATAAGAAAAATATGATGCATATTTTATATTAAACATACAACCCCCATGTGCATTTCTGAAATGTTAAGTGTGTCCTGGACAAATGTGTGTAGCAGTCCTCCCTTACCCCTGGTTTCACTTTCCTGGGTTTCAGTTACCCACAGTCAACTGAGGTCCAAAAATACTACATAGAAAATTCCAGAAATAAACAATTTCCTAAGTTTTAAATTGCATGCTGTTCTGAGTAGCGTGATGAAATCTTGCACAGTCCTGCTTCATCTCTCCCAGGACATGAATCATCCCCTTGTCCAGCGTATATGCCACCTGCTCCTCGTCACCAAGTAGCCCTCGGGGTTGTCAGATCAACTGTCACTGCATCATGGTGCTTGTGTTCAAGTTAACCCTTATTTTACTCAATAACAGCCCCAAAGCACAAAAGTAGTGATGCTGGCAATTTCGATATATCAAAGAGAAGCCAAGAAGCGCTTCCTTTAAGTGCAAAGATGAAAATGCTCGACTCCATAAAGAAAGAAAAAAACAACATGCTGACGTTGCTAAGATCTACAGTAAGAACGAGTCTTCTACCTGTGAAATTGTGAAAATGGAAAAACAAATTCGTGCTAGTTTTGCTGTCACATCTCAAGTATGAATGTATAGGAGAAAACTTAGTATACGTAGGGTTTGCTACTGTCCAGTTTCAGGCATCCACAGGGGTTCTCAGAACGTGTCCTCCATGGCTAAGGGGGAACTACTGTACTTAGTCTCTGCAGTGCAAGCGCAAAGCAGAACACTGCTCACGCCATGAAAGCCAAGTGCATATTAACATGAAAAGGGCACAGAGCAAGGAACTTAGGCAGAATTACCCACCTGCTCGCCCCACCCCACCTCCACTTGTTTCTCACCTGCTGCTTTGCCACTTTAACAAACCCGAGGACTCGCTCCAGGTGTGGCCGGTTGATCAGGGGACCCATCCTTGTATCTTCCAGAAGGGGATCTCCAATTTTTATCCTTTGGGTCTGTTTCACCACTTCCTCTGTAAACTTATCAAGAATTTCCTTTTGCACAAATACCCTTGTGCCATTACAACAAACCTAAAGGACAGACACAAATTTACACATAAGTAAGGAGGAAAAAAGGGAAGGGGGGAAAACTGAGTGCCTTTAAAGTGACAGTATACTTCTTTAAAAAAAGTTCCATTTCTAAAAATTATCCCCATACTGAATAGGATCACATATGTAATTATGGACATAGCATCCTACAAGCGAAACTGTTTGCCTTTTGTGATAAAAGTTATATCTTTTTGTTTGTTTAAATTTTCTTAAGGCCATTAATAGATCAATATGACCCACAGGACTTCTCCTAGTTGCTCACATCAGCTGCTCACTTTGACTGTATATTTTAAGAGTAGGAAGTGAGAACAGGAGAGGAGTGAAAGAGTGAAAACAGATTAAAAACTGAGGGCTTGAGCCTAATAAAACCCCAAAGCATTTCGCAGTCAATGTATGTCTCTAAAATCACAAATTGTGACTATTTAGACCCTCCCATAGATATGAACATAAATACTGTTCAAATGCTATCAGAACAGCAGAATAGAAAAGGAAGTCCAGAAATGGATCCAAGTGCTCGTGGACGTTCAGTTTATGATTCAGGTAGAATCTCAAACCACTGGAACAAAGATGAACTAGTAATAAATGGTGCTAGAACAACTGGTGGGAAATCAGATACATATCTCACATCAAATACAAGAATAAACTCTAAATGTATCAGAAATCTGAATATGGAATATGAAACCATACAACTACCAAAAGAAAATACAGGTGAATTCCTCTATAACCTAGGTGTAGTAAAAAGATTTTCTAAGTAGTACTGAAAATCTTGATGCAATGAAAGAAAAAGAATGATAAATTTGATAAAATAAAATTAAAAATCTTTTGCATAGCAAAAACAGCCTAAACAAAGCCAAGACAACTGACAAACTAGAAGGAAATATTTGCAATGTAACCACAGATAAAGGGTAGTATCACTAATATTTAAATAACTTATAAAAATTTAAGGAAAATCAAAACTAATAGTTTAATACACCAGAAAAGTGAACTTTACTATATATGAACAAGAAAAAAGAAACTTTAAAAAATTGAGGGAAATGACCGGATGTTGAATTTAAAAATGGACAAAAGTTACGGAAAATTTATGTACATACACACACATAAATGGTCCTTAAGCCTAAAAAAGATGCTCAATCTCATTCGTAATTAGAGAATTGAAATTAAAATTACAGTGAAATACCATTGCTTACCTCGTGAGGAAATAGGCATTCGTACATTGTTGGGAGGAACACAAACTGGTCCAACCCATTTGGAGGGGCATTTGGCGCTATCTTATAAAATTACATATGTACTCAACATCACTAATCATTAGGGAAATGCAAATCAAAACCACAATGAGATATCATTTCACATCCATTATGATGACTACCATCAAAAAACAGGAAATAGCAAATATTGGCAAGGATGTGGGGAAATTGGAACCCTTGGGCATTGCTGACGGGAATGCAAAATGGTGCAGCTGCTAGAAAACACTATGGCATTTTTTTAAAAACTTAAACACAGAATTACCATATTATCTAGCAATTCCACTTCTGGGTATATACCCCAAAGAAGTGAAAGCAGGGATTCAAACAGATATTTGTATGCCAATGTTCACAGCAGCATTATTCACAATAGCCAAAAGGTACAATAACCTAAAATGTCCACCGGCAGATGAATGGATAAAGAAAATGTAATATACACATACAATGGAATATTATCCAGTCTTAAAATGGAAGAAAATTCTGATACATGTTACAACATGGATGAACCTTAAAGACATTATGCTAAGTGAAATAAGCCAGACACAAAAGGACAAACACTATAATTCCACTTCTATGAGGTACCTAGAGTAGTCAAATTCATAGAGAAGGAAAGTAGAATGGTGGTTACCAGCGACTGGCAGGAAGGGGGAATGGGGTTCTTGTTTCATGAGCACCGAGTTTCAGTCTTGTAAGAGGAAGAGTTCTGGAGATGGATGGTAGTGATGGTTGCACAACAATGTGAATATACTTACTTACACTGAACTGTACACCTAAAAATGTTTAACACGGTCAATTTTATGTTATGTATATTTTACCACAAACCATAGCCACAAAAAGTTACATATGCATTTACCACTGCTAGGAATTTACTCTGAAAATATATCTCCAACAATACAAAAATTCACATGCACGAGGTTATTCACCACAGCACTGGTTTGTAATCACAAAATACTGGAAACAGCCTAAACACCCAAACAAAAGAGTAGTTGGATAAATTATACCAGCTGCACAAAGATTTACACTATGCAACTGTAAAAGAGAATGAAGACGTTTTCTTTGAAATGAAATGGAGTGATTGCCAGGATATATTAGGTGAAGAGAGCAAAGTGCAAACACGTGCCTCTAATAGCTATCTTTCATAAGAAAGAGGAGGAAATAGGAAATACACAAGTACCTGCTCATTTGTGTAAACAGAAACACAAGAAGGAAAATCGGAAACAACTTAGGCTGGCCACCTACAGGGGGTCGGCAGGAAGAGGGCAAAGAAGGAAGGAATGGGACCAAGGAAGAAGGAATGGGGAAAACTGCCATTTCTGTGCGCATTTTGGTAAAATTCTGACATTTAGAACCATGTTAGTATTTCACCTAATCAAAATAAATAAATTTTTTAAATATGCAAGGATGGGGGAAAATAAACCCCAAATGAAAGACATGTAGAAATAAATTTCTTATTTAAAATGAGTATCATAACCATATTGAAAGGGGTGGTGAAGGAAGACCCAACCCAATTAACTTTTGAATGCAGAATTTTAACTAGTCATTTGCCACGTTTCAGTCAATGACAGACCGCATATACCAGTAGTTCCCCTAAGATTAGTACCGTATCGCCTAGGTGTGTAGTAGGCTATACCATCTAGGTTTGCTTAAGTACACTCTGTGATGGTCGCACAAGAAAACCACCAAATTTCTCACAATGCATCCCCATCATCAAGCAATGCATGACTGTATACCCTCAGACTTAAGACAAAAAGCTCTGTAAAAAATTTTGAACTCTAATTAGAAGGTTTATTTTTCACAGTGGTGTAGGATCACAGATCTGAAACTATTATAAATGTTCTAGGACTGAGTAATTAAATAAATATATTGTGGATAATGGGAGCCAAATTTCTCACTGTCAGAAAAGGAAATTAGAAACATGGAACAGAAGAGGCTGAAATAAACCCTATAGTATTGGAAATATCTGTATGAACTTCAGGTTATAATACAGATAGATACAGAAATAGACCTGTGTGTGTGCGTGTGTGTGTGTTTACGTACATACACATATGCAAACATCTATTTCCTAGCTCTGCCCTCTGAGAGGGCCTAGAAGCAATGATAGCCCAGTAGCAACGAGTATACCTGGCACCCAGATCATGGTTTCTAAATACCGTTTACCACTAAACAGAACCAAGGCTCCTTAGAGAAATGGCTGACTCCACAGCTTGGCCAGGGAAAGCATAAGATGGGTCTAGAACACCTTACTATGCCAGAAAGTAAAGAAGTGCTAAAAACAAAATAATGAGAACATATCATAAGGTCACAGAAAGGGGCTCCCACTAGCTGAATCTGAAATTATTTGAGCATCAAAATAAATAACGATAGTAATGAGTTATAACCCACAGAATGAAGTAAGAATCCATGGGTCCATAATTCAATTCAAGAATCCACGATAAAGACAAATGAATAGGAAACAAACAGGGAGAAGGGAAAAGTATTTCTTACAACAGAACTAAATACATGTAGAAGGTATAACAGAATTGGAAAACCATCATTTGAAGACCACCATAATAAAAACTACCTCCAGCAAAAATCATCAAAGGGTGCTCAACCTAGTGGGTGAAAGTGGGATGAGGGACAGGATAGCCTTGCGCCATCTCCTACATGACACTTATTAACTATAAAAGAAGAAACAGTAACTTTGCAGTGAAAACCCATCTTAAGCAAGCGATTAAAGTTAACAACACTGCTGAGAAGGACAAAACATCACTTTTTTGGTGTTTTTCTTGCCAAAAATATATAACTTGAATCTAATCAAGTGGAAACACCAGACAGACCCCAAATGAGGGACATCCCACAAAATAAATGGCCTGTAGTCTTCAAAAACGTCAAAGTCCCGAAAGATATGAATGACGGAAGAACTGTTCCAGACTTAAGGAGACATGACAACTAAATGTAATATGTCTTCCTGGATTAGATTTTGGATCAGAAAAAAAAGTTTTCTTTTACTAAAAGGACATTAGTCAAATAAAATGGCAAAATCTAAATAAGGGCTGTGGATTGAGTAATAGCACTATATTAAGTTATTGACTTTAGCAAGTGGACTGTGCTTATGTAAGAGATTGCACTCGTTTTTTGGAAATACATATAAATATTTTGAGGTTAGGGGTCTTATTCCTGCAACTTTCAAGCAGTTCAGAAAAAATTTAACATGCGTATGTACATCCAGACAGATAAAGAGAAGGACAAAGTGAATGTGATGAAATGTTAACATGTGAGGGACCTGGATCAAAGGTACACGGGAATTCTTCGTCCTGTTGGTGCAACTTTTCTGTAAGTCTGAAACCATTTCAAAATAAGAGACTTTCAAACGTGCTGTTGGCTGGAAGGGTGGAGATTCCTATGAAACCTCTCCCTGGGATAGGTACGTACCTCGCCTTGCGTGAGGAAGTTGGCCATCAGCGCCCCCTTCACAGCATTCTCCATATCACAGTCTGAGAAGATGATCAGTGGAGATTTGCCTCCAAGTTCCAAGGTAACAGGTTTGATTCCTTTCGCTGACATCTCCATGATCTTACAGAACAGCAACAAAAGCATTCAGAAGTTTGACACAAATGAGATCACATGCTGGGTAAACCAGACCCTGAACCTCCAAAGCCACCTTGAACTATGCATGACCTGCAGCCTTGTTCTTCTCAGTACACTTTGCCCTTTGCCTATTTAAAATATCCTTTTCCAGCACACTGAAGAGAATCCACAGAACTGCACTCGATGTTCTGAAGAGAGGGAATCCATTTTAAAATCACTGTCCATTCCCCTGACTGTCATGGGCAGAAACTCTTTTGAATTACTGCTCCTGTGTTCAAGGCTGATGGAGCTCAGAGCACACGTTAAGATCAAAACAATGAATCTGAAATAAGCTGAGAAAATACTCTTCTTTCTGAAGTGGCTGCTATAGATGAGGTAAGTCACCAGACAAGAGAAGTGGCAGCCCAGGCCCTGAGCTCTCAGACACAGGCAGCAGCTGATGACTTCTGTCACCAGCGGGCCTATCACCAGTCTGCTGTGCTCACCACCCTGAGTGTGTTCCCTTTTCCCGCTCCAGACCTTTGCCAATAATACCTAGGGCCCCTCCCAGTTCAAGTAGGTGAGATCAGAAGATAAGCCTCCAACAGACACTCTGGGCAGGCCTGACGCTGCCGTATCGAGATGCCATGTGTGTAAATTAATACTAGTTTTATCTTCACCTTCGTGCCAGTGGGCACACTTCCAGTGAAGGAGACTTTGGCCACATCGTGATGCTGACACAGAAACTGGCCTGTGGCAGCCCCTCCTTGCACCACGTTGAAGAGCCCAGGAGGCATGCCAGCCTCAGTATAGATTTCAGCCAGCAGCAAGACAGACACAGGTGTGAAGGGAGACGGCTTAAAGATCATGGCGTTACCTGCACAAACCCAAGACACAAACAGAGACTTTTTAAGACCGGTGATCCTCGGAGGACAGGACTAGAGGACAAGTCAAGAACAACTCCAACTGTTTCCTGTTCCCCCATCAAATCTGGGGCCAAAAATCTTATTAAGAAGTTAACATATCTTGTTTTTCCCACCTTTGTTTCTCTCATTAAACAGACCCCAAGGCACACACGTGCCCAGTCTTGACCACTGATACCCTAGACTTGCATGTCGGGGCCTTCCCCCAGATCAGTAATTTGGCACTTGCAAGAGCAGCATGAAGTAGGTACAATTAGTTCTATTTTACAAAACTTGAAACTGAAGATTGGAAAGGTTAACAATCTCAAGGAGAGTCCCCAGAACTAGTGACTTAATTAATTTCTCCTCTGTCACCCAGGAATACGCAGAAAGAAGAACAGGAAGTGGCAACAAGAAAAAAGCTGCATTTCAATACAATGTTATAATAGTAATGCTTTTTTAACCTTACAGTTTTTTCTGAGATATAATAAATCATCTTTTCCCACAGATTCTTCAGTTTAAATATTACGAGAAAACTCTTCAGGTCAATCAGCCAAAGCTTCTCTGATGGAAGCCTTGTTAATCATCTCTCTTAAGACACAAACGAAGCAGGAAGTTTATCTTCTGCTTTCCAAAAGAAGTCAAACTTCCGTGCTGCCTCTACAGAGAAATCCATGTCCAGAATCCTTGTCCAGAAAGGAAGAGAACTTTCAAGCAGCACAAATCTAATTTGATTTGACAGTGAAAAATAAGACGTCCAAGGGCTAGCCCATTGGGACAGTGGTTAGGTTCGGTGCACTCTGCTTCACCGGCCCAGGTTCACAGGTTTGGGTCCCAAGCACAGACCTACACCACTTATCAGCCATGCCATGGTGGCATCCCACATACAAAATAGAGGAAGACTGGCACAGATGTTAGCTGAGGGTGAATCTTCCACAAGCAAAAAACAAGAGGAAAATTGGCAATGGATGTTAGCTCAGGGCTAATCTTCCTCAGTAAAAAAAATAAATAAGACCGTCAATACCAAAATCAACTTTCTTTCTTTCCATAAACAAAAATAAATTAGATAAATAAAAATGGGAATATATAGACATGATCTGTGTGCATAACCTACAAGGTAAGCTTAATAAGGGGCAGGGCAGGAATGAACCCACGTCCTCTGAGGCTTTCTATGCCCAACACAGGCCCCTTCTGATGTGAAGTGTGGGTATGTGTGTGGACAAGTAAGGGGCAGAAAATGGGGAGAGAACAGACACTCACAAGTGGTGGAATAATTCATTCTTACCACAAGCTAAAGCTGGAGCAGACTTCCAGCAGGCAATCTGAAAGGGGTAGTTCCAGGCTCCTATTCCCACACACACGCCAAGTGGTTCTCTTCTGGTATAACCAAAGGATCCTCCTGGGAGCTGGATATGTTCGCCTAAAGGGGAAAGAGAGGAGTCAAGAAGGAGGCAGTACTGCTTTCTTAAGACTTCACCAACACCTGTACTCACCTGGCACTCCAGTCAGACCAGCCTCCTCGCTGCTCCCAGGACAGCGGGCTCACCTTATCTCCATTCTTTCATTCGTTTCATTCTTACACTGCTTCCGCACGTTCTCTCCACAAAAAGAATCCTTTCTAGCCTTCAAACCCATGTTCATCAACTTAATATAATTTTCCAAAAATCTACTGGGTGTCCAATAGACAACACAGATGAAATGAAATGGAAATGATGGGAGACAGCAGCAGAGTCTGAGGACCTTAAAACCTCAGACTTCTGGCTCCCCAAGCCCTCCTCTTGCTGTTAAACCATCCAACATGAACTGTGGTAAACTTCATAAACAGTAGATGAACATTTTTTTGCTAAATAGGTAAAACTAGTAAATACGATGCACTCGCTGATTCTTGCAAGAACTGGTTTTTCAACAACTTGATCTAAAGCTCAGGTACCAGGCTAGGTGCTTTATATACATTATCTCATTGAAGCCTTATGATAATCAAGGAGACAGGGATTACTATCTCCATTAAACAAGGAAAGATAAAGTAATTCCCAGTGTCACCCAAGGAGAGAGTGATGAACCTACAATTTTAATCCAGACCTGTCTTAAACCCAAATCTTTACCCTGTGCCATTAGGCTCTGCTCTTCTGCCTTCTCGTCAGCTGGTCACAGAGGGCCAGGTGAGGGCTTACCAGCCATGGATGCAGCCAAGCCTGCATAGTACTCCAGGGACTGCCAGGAAATGTCAATGTCGAAGCGGGCCTCGAAGATGGACTTGCCATTGTTGATGGTCTCCACCTTGGCAATTTCATCCCTCCGTTCCTTGGGGTAAAACCGAAGACTAGATTTAAGACACGTTACCACACACCTCAACACATTCACCACTCAAACAGAACACATGGCCCAATTTTAAAAACTGAAACAGCTTGCACTTTAAATGAAAATAAAAGAAATGGTAATGTTACATTTGGAAGAGAGATAAAAGCTCTTGCTAAATAGCAGTCCTGTTCTCCCCCTCAAGTTAACTGTCAAAGATTTAAGACCAATACCTCATTTCAAGGTCAGTTAGAAAAGGAATGTTTTGAGAAATGATTATTATGTATGTATACGTCTATAAATATGTATACATACGTGCACATATGTTTGCATGTATAGAGAAACAGAGAATAGTCCTTAGGAAAATTATACAGAGTAACCAAACACACAATTGGCATCTAAGAGATTATATTCACACACGGCTTTAATTCACCCAAAGAAAGGCAGCACGTTAAAGTCATAAATATAATTATTTTCTAGTGCTCAGTACTCATCGATTCTCTTCTCAAATATTGTTTCCAGTTGTAGCCCACACAACTTAGAGAAGCTCGAGATGATCCAAGGATAAACTTTAGAAAGGTTTGAGGAGCCAACTCCATGGCCGAGTGGTTAAGTTCACACGCTCCGCTACGGCGGCCCAGGGTTCGGATCCTGGGCGCGGACATGGCACCGCTCATCAGGCCACGTTGAGGCAGCATCCCCCATCCCACAACTAGAAGGACCTGCAACTAAGATATACAACTATGTATGGGAGGGTTTGGGGAGATAAAGCAGAAAAAAACAAAAAAAAAGATGGGCAACAGTTGTTAGCTCAGGTGCCAATCTTTAAAAAAAGCTAAGTAGGGGCCAAGTGGTTAAGTTTGCGCGCTCCACTGCAGCGGCCTGGGATTTTGCGAGTTTGAATCCTGGGCGTGGACATAGCACTGTTCATCAAGCCATGCTGAGGCAGCATCCCACATGCCGCAACTAGAAGAACCTGCAACTAAGATATACAGCTAGGTATAGGCAGGCCCCAAAGAATTTACTTCTAAAAGAAAAAGTTAGTAAGTTCTAAATAAATTACTAAGTAGACATGTTCCTTCAGAAGAGATAATTTGTCCACATTCAAACATAGTCTAGGGGCCGCCCTGGTGGCGCAGTGGTTAAGTTCACATGTTCCACTTCTCAGCAGCCCAGGGTTTGCTGGTTCAGATCCCAGGTGTGGACATGGCACGGCTTGGCACGCCATGCTGTGGTAGACGTCCCACATATAAAGTAGAGGAAGATGGGCACAGATGTTAGCTCAGGGCCAGTCTTCCTCAGCAAAAACAGGAGGATTGGCAGTAGTTTGCTCAGGGCTAATCTTCCTCAAACAAACCAAAAAAAAAAGCCACATGGTTTAAACCAAATTGTCTTTTAAACCAACAATTCACTTTCTCTTCCCCTGATTCTATACTCACCAAAACAATCTTTTTTTTTTTCCTGAGGAAGATTTGCCCTGAGCTAACATCTGTTGCTAATCTTCCTCTATTTTGTATGTAGGCCACTGCCACAGAACGACCACTGATAGACAAGTGGTGTAGGTCCGCACGGTCAAAGTGGAGTGCACCAAACCTAACACTAGGCCACCGGGGCTGGCCCAAAACAACCTCTTAACACTTAACTTGTTTCCCAGTTACACTGATACTGGAAAAAGGGTACCTAGGGGGTAAACAGGCATCAGTTCTTAAACCAGGTATAAATTATTCCCCATTCTTGAGTTCGTTGAGTATGATTAACATGAAACAGTCTTCCAAAAGCAGGATCAACCATGAGCAGCTTAAACTTCCTTTCTAGAATGCAAGAGGCCAACTAGAGCCCAAGAGGAAGTCAGTTCTGGTTCACTAGTCGGCATGAAGAAACTGACGGAACAGTACACTCCATTTTCAACACATGAAGAAATATTAAACTGGCAAAAGTGAAACGCTGTTGGCTTCTGCGTTAGTACAAGATGAACAGATAGGAAGTAACCTGTGACTATTGCTGCAAAGCCTTGTAATATTTACTAAGAATAGGAAGCTTTATTCTCTTGAGATTTTTTTTAAAGATTGGCACCTGAGCTAACATCTGTTGCCAATCTTTTTTTTTTTTTTCTCCCCAAGCCTCCTCAGTACATAGTTCTACATTCTATTTGTGAGCTCCTCTGGCCGTGCTATGTGGGACGCCGCCTCAGTATGGCCTGATGAGTGGTGCCATGTCCACGCCCAGGATCCGAACTGGAGAAACCCCAGGCCATGAGCAGAGCAGGCAAACTTAACCACTCAGCCTCAGGAATGGCCCCTTGAGATTTTTTTTTTGGTAAACAATGGACAGGCAATCAGCTTTGAAGACTGTTTCAAGGTTTCGACTCGCAGCGAAAATTCAATTTACTGGTTGGCCACTTGAGATTTTTCCCTGTCTTATTCCATCATCCTCTACCCTCAGAAAAGGTTATTTCTAAAAGTCCACTGTGAGATCTTTTGATATACCATATAAGGATCACCAAAAAAACGTCCCTGACAAAGATTAACAAGGAGTCCCACTTGGATAGTTTAGATCTACTAAAGTCTCTACTAACACTTAATATTGCTTTAGGGAAAATGGGATTCCTTTACCCTCCTGGAATTAAGAGGGCAGAGCAAGAAGGGGAATCACAAAATAAGATTGTCCCCCATAACCACACAGAGCTACACGTATCTCTTGGGACACGTGTGCCTTGTATCTAACACCGTCCTCCTCTAAACCACGCTGCTTTAGAACACGACCGGACAGGCGTCCATTGGGATGAAAGACAAGAAACAAAGGGCAGGTGCCTGGCCTTTCTCCTCCACTTTACATCTCTCAGCAGGCCGTGTCGAGCTTTTATAAGACCGCCGTATGAGCAAAGAAACACTCATCAGAATCCTGACAAGCCCAAGCCCCCGCCTGCTTCAAGAGCCAGAGCTCAGCAAAAAAGTCACAGGCTTCGAAGGTGAACAGACCAGCTCTTCCACTTACTAGTGATACGACCTTAGACAAGCCACTGAACCTTTCTGAGTCTGTTTCCTCACTTGTTACTAAGTTAAATAACAGCTACATTTCAAGATGTTTTTGATATTTAAATACAATCATGCATAAAAGCACCTTGCACATCATAGAAATTTTTTTATAAAGGTAACCCATTTCTGTTCAGTACTAACTGTATAAAGCCTTGCATCTGCTTACAAGCAAGGGACAAGCTTTTGTTTCACCTTTGATAACCTCACAACCAGTTCTAGCATCCTTCACTCTGGTCTCCCCACCAACCTGGAGTGTGCTACACATTCTCCTTACATCTAACTCATTTTCCCCTTCTCTCTCAGAAGGGGAAAGTGCTAACGGGAGGAAAATAGGGGCAAGAATTGTTTTACAGGAGTAATGCTAAATTTCAACAAAGGTGAAAGGTTATCAATTATAGTCTAAGGCTCACACGCAACATAATAGATGGAGATTTCAGAAACAAAGAAAGGGAGAGACGGAGGAATAAAGAAAGGAAGACAGGCAGGTAGGCCATTTGCTCAGGGACATTAAGAGTGTAAAGGGGAAAGAAGGCAATAAACCAATAATAACAACACAGCCTATTAAATGCGACAGACATAAGTCCAAGAGGCAAGAGAAACAAAGGAACAGCACCAGACTCAGCCTAGGGAGGCGAGGGAAAGTCCTCTAGGGATGATGAAGCTGGAGAAGCTCTCCAAGGAGTACCGCATCACAGCAAGTACAAAAGCATGGGATGTGAGAATACACACACGGCAGAGGAAGAACGACCACTGGGGCTCGTTGTATGTGAAGAGGAGAAGGAAATGAGGCTGGAGAAACAAGGGTTGATCCAGAGGACCTAATGGGCCATGTAAGGAGGGGAGGGCCATCGGAAGTTTTAGCCAAGGAGGGCCACGATCAAACGTGCACTTTTAGGAAGATCCCTCTGGTGGCGGGGTAAAAGATGGACTGATCCGGGGTAGGGCTGAAGCAGGTGCATAATCTACACACACGACCTTTTCTTTTATTTGAACAGTGCTGTCATAGTTTTAAATAAGATCTTCTCTCTCCTTTTAAGCCAAATGATAGCTACTCTCATAAGGAGACCCCAACTGAGGAATGATTGGGGCCTGTCAATAAGATCTCTATAATATGATAAAAGTACCAAAAGATTCAAAGTAAAAGGGGGAACATAAGATCAGGGAACATACAAAAAATATATATATTCATTTTCTCTAAGAATCAATGGGCTTGCAGCAAAGGCGGAGGAATAGGGACCAGATTTACTCTCCACCTTAAGCAACTGAAAACATCAGACAAAATACAGCAAACAACAATTTTCAGACACTGGACGTGAGGCAGCTCAGGTCAGTGATCCTTGAGGGGGAAACCAACAACACAGCTTACTGCCTGGAAAGGTCACAGAGCAGGGAAGAAGCCTTAGGTGGGGCCCAACAGACACCTCAAGTTGAGGAGACAGGTTGGGAGTTCGGGACGATATGATGGCAACAGTCTGCAAGGCTGAGTACGGGAGAGAGGAGAGCTGCACAGAAAGAGAACCCCAGAGATGTGCACAGTCCTCCACAATGATCAATGTGAGGAAACTACCCAAGGCCAGCAAAAGAACTAACCAATAAAGACGGTGAAAAAAATCCCCAGAACTCACACGGGGCCAGGAATAGTTCGTGTTCCCACTAGCCAGGGAGAGAGAAACCTCACTAATACACAGAGCATTGGGTTAAGTATTCAGAAGGGTACTCAGTAGTGGGGAAAAATTAGCTGCTCTGGTCACACCTAACAAAGCATAAAATCAAGCCTTGCAAGGATTGAACTGATTCCAAGTAACTTCACTGTATCCCAGAACACAGCTCAAGAATATTTTTTAAAGTACAAGGATATTCAGCAACCAACAACATAAAATTCACAAGGTCTAACAGATGGCCAATAAAAACATGAAAACATGTCCAACATCACTAATCATCAGGGAAATGCAAATCAAAACTACACTAAGATACCACCTTATGCCTGTTAAAAGGGCTATAATCACTAAGACTAAAAATAACAAATGTTGGAGAGGGTGTGGAGAAAAGGGAACTCTCTCACACTGCTGGTGGGAATGCAAACTGGTGCAGCCACTGTGGAAAACAGTATGGAGAGTCCTCAAAAAACTAGAAATAGAACCACCACATGACCCAGCTATCCCACTACTGGGTATCTACCCAAACAATGTGAAATCAACCATCCAAAGTAACACATGACCCCTGTGTTCACTGCAGCACTATTCACAATAGCCAAGACATGGAAGCAACCCAAGTGCCCATCAACCAATGACTATCAGGATAAAGAAGATGTGGTATATATATACAATGGAATACTATCGAGCAATAAAAAAAAGACAAATTCATTCCATTTGAAATAACATGGAAGGACGTGGAGGGAATTATGCTAAGCGAAATAAGCCAGCCGGAGAAAGACAAACACCAGATGATTTCACTCATATGTGGAATATAAACAAATACATGGACAAAGAAAACAATTCAGTGGTTACCAGGGAAAGCGGGGTCAGGGGTGGGCAGTGGGGGTGAAGGGGAGCACTTCTATGGTGGCAGTCAAGAAACAATGTATAACTGAAATCTCACATTGATATAAACTATTATGAACTCAGAAAAAAAGGTAAAAAGAAAATTCACAACGTGTAGTGATCAAAAATTACTAGGCATGCAAAAAGTGTATATATATATATATAGTTATATAACACGTAACCAGGAAGAAAAACCAATCAACAGAAACAGATCCAGAGATGACAGATAATAGAACTAGCAGACAAAGATATTAAACATTATTATACCTATATTGCATGTGTTCAAGAAGGCAGAGGAAAACATGAGCATGTTAAGGAGAGACATGAGACACATAAAAAAAACACAGAAAGACCCAAATTGGACATCTGGAGATGAAAAATAGACTGGATGGGATTAACCGCAGATTAGACACTACACAAGAAAAGGCTGCTGAACCTGGGGCGTAATGATGGAAATTATCCAAAATGATCAAGGTGCTAATTCTTAAGAAGACATAACTCTAGAAATCCAGCCATTTGTGACGACATGGATGGACCATGAGGGTATTATGCTAAGTGAAATAAGTCAGAGGGAGAAAGTCAAATACCATATGATCTCACTCATAAGGAGAAGACAAAAACAACGACAAACACACACACAGCAACACAGACTGGACTGATGGTTACCAGAGGGGGAGGGGGAGGGAGAAAATGGTGATTAGGCACTTGTGCGCGGTGATGGATTATAATTAGTCTTTGGGTGGTGAACATGATGTAATCTACCCAGAATTCAAAATATCTTATGATGTACATCTGAAAGCTATGTAATGTTATAATCCAATGTTACTGCTATAAAAACAAAAGTAAAAATAAAAAATTAAATTAAATTAAAAGAAGACACAACTCCAAATGCTTATGTCATAGGAAAAAGTGAAAGACAAAATTAAAATAATAAATTATCAGCTTTGTTATCACTTTTGGTCTATCAAACTGAAAATAAATTTTTAATAATAGGGGAAGACATTTTGTTGGGAGAAAATTCTCCATCAATATTTTGACACTTCTGCATGGTCCAGGCTTTCTAAGCAAAGGACCCAAGCAAGTTGTTTGAAAAGCAAGGGCCTCAGCAGTTAAGTTTGCACGTTGTGCTTCAGCAGCCCGGGGTTTGCTGGTTCGGATCCCGGGTGCGGACATGGCACTGCCTGGCATGCCTTGCTGTGGCAGGCGTCCCACATATAAAGTAGAGGAAGGTGGGAATGAACGTTAGCTCAGGGCCAGTCTTCCTCAGCAAAAAAAAAAAAGAACAAGAAGAAAAAAAGGAGGAGGATTGGCAGCAGTTAGCTCAGGGCTACTCTTCCTCAAAAAAGAAAAAAAAGAAAAGCAAGGGCCTTGGAAGGCAGAGATACTGTGTCCCTAAAGATACAGACTTGACTTGGTAGAGATGTGGAGATATAAAGCTCTCTACTTCCTCTTCTGGACACATTTGCTTACATTCCAGAATAATAATCCTAGTGACACTTCCCCCTTAACCCTGGAGGAGATCTGCTTCGTGAGCAATCTCTCTCTCCAGAGGAAAGGATGGGCAGATGTGACAGCAGACCCTATTATATATAATAGGGTTCCTCTTCTGTGGTGCAACCCACTGCAACAGGGTAACACCAGCTCTCACTGCATCATCCCATGGGGACTGAGGCTCAGAAAACTAGTGCTAAGGTATTGCCCTGGCTGCTGCATTTTGCTGTGAGTAAGAAACCATCTCTTTCTCTAATCCAGAAACTTCATGTCTTCTATCAGAAGACACACTCTTGGAAGCTGGGTCACTCTCAGACCCTTCACAGTTTCTGACTTTACACACTTACGAGAAAAAAATTACCACAGTCCTACCATCGAAGATACCCATGATTCATCTTTTGGTGTATATCCTTCAGAATTTTCTAATTTTCTGTAATGAGTATCCGGCACTTTTGCTTTTTAAAACTGTAAACGGTTTAACTTTGTTTTTTAAGAGGAGAACATCTAAGAATCTATGAAATCTTTCCAGGCAATTAAGATAGAAAATAAACCTGAAAAAGAAAGACTTAAGAGTCATCAGAGGAAAAGCATAAAGGAACCAAGGACACATAGACGAAAAGAAAAGGAGACAAGCTACAAAGGATACATTATAACTCAAACAAAGATGGAAAAGAAAATCTGCCAAGGAGAGGTCACAAAGAGCCCAGATCCAGACAGGAACTACCGAATGAAAGCCTGTTTTATATACCAAGGTGGGCATATGGAAATATTTTTCGATTTCATGAAGAAGGTATAACCTAATGGTGCATCAAAGTGTACCTGCAAATCATCACAAAGAACCCTCAGAAGAATGTGAGAGGACTTTTCCAGAGGAGAATAAATGAAAACATACCCTTATTATCCTGGCAGCCTCCAAAAGGATTCGGCAACGCTCCATGCCAGATTTCTGACTCCATATTTTAAAGGCAGCCTTTGCATCCTGAACAGCCAAATTTACTTCCTTTTCTCCAGAACATGCGAAAGTAGCTATCACTCGGCCTGTAAGGATGGGCAAGTCAGTGTTTTCTCATACTGTTGCCACACATGAAAGTATTGTGTATTCAGATTTCTTTTTAGTGATCCCCTTCTTGTTTTTAAGTATGGTTTGATTCAGTAACCACCCCTATACCAGCAGTTCTTTACTCAATTTTGAGATCACTGATCCCTTTAAAAATCTAATAGAAGTTGCAGACTTTTCTCCAGAAAAATGTACTTAACCATATCACAGAATTACAGAAAGATAGTGTTCTTTGCCCTAAGCACACCATGAACTTCGGGTTGAGAACCCCTGCCCTCATCTATTTCACAGCTGGGTTTACTACCATTAACTTCCTATCAATTATTCTACAATGCTCCTTAACAATGTTCGAGAATCTCAGGGTCTTGCAACAGCAAAGTTGAAACTGTCTCCTCGGTTATGAAAGCTGATTTTAAATCCCTGGTCTGTGATCTACATAAATTATATTATACTACTAATACTTGATGAACATGGTTAATAAACAGCAGTATCAGGAAAACATATCCCTAAAAGAACACTTCTTTCTCAAATATAAAAAAATCCAGTCTCTCCTTTTCTTATTCCTACCTTATTCCCTATGGCTATTCTGAGGCAAAATATGAAATGACCCGTTTTTCTAGACCCAAGAGGTGTGACTGACTCTACCAACAAAAATTCTTTAAGTATGTCAAGTCATCAGTTCTGTTCCCCTCTCACAGGAACTCCTGGGACTCTGCACCTTTCAGAGAGATTTCACAAACCTGAAATTTCTGTTACAAACTTGAATAGCCAGGTGGTAAACACAGTGGCTAAGGATTAGCACACATTGTAGGTAATTAAATAAGAGCAATTTTTCTTTCTTTTGTTTCAATATAGCGGTGGGGACAAAGAGGCTGTCTCCTAAAGAACATGATGCTCTCTGTGGCCCTTTCTGCTCTGACAAGTTACTGCTCTGTGGTTTAGTACCATTGGTCAGTCCTAAAGTCTCCAGTCCCTTGCAATCCAGTTTCATCCTCGGCTACATACCATACTGGTTTGCACAAAACATTTACATATTTCTCCCCACAAATATTCGATAAAACCCAGCAAAACAAACACACAAAAAACCAAAGCAAAACAAAAAACCGCTTCCTCCTTAACTTTGTGATCTTTAGTGTTCCCAGAGGAAATCTGGGGCACGGTGCTCGGCACACATTTCACACTGGAAACAAGCAGGGTTTTTCTCCCTTTCCCAACTCTGATTCACGTCTAGAAATATTTTAACACTAGGGGATGCAACAAAGGCCTCATTCACGCTCATTAGAATCATCTGCGTGTGCTCCTCCATCCTCGACACAATGTTCATTTTCTGCCGCGTCCTTCTGGAAATCCTCTTCTTTGCACACGGTTGAAGACATTAATGCAGTCTCAGCTTTAATTTCTTAATAATTAACAAAGGCACAACCTCACGCACCGGGGCTTTGTGGACTCTCTGTTCAGGCCGTTGTGAAATTACTCATGACGCCAGAACCCAACTCACCAGCTTTCCCAGTTTCCCTCGACTCCCTTCGTGTCCCTGGCCAGACGCACTCGTGCTTGCACGGAATCGTCCGCTGCCTATTACAGACCACCTTACACTTTACACGGCCCCTTATCCGTGTTCAACAAACGTCTGCTGAACGCACTACAGGAGGGTTCAGGGCAGGAGAACGAGCGCACCGCAGAGGCGGGGAGCTCCAGCCGCGCCCGGCCCCGCCACTCCCCCGGCCGCCCGCGGCCCCGGCCCGCCGTCCCGGCCCTGCCGCCGGTCTCGGTCTCCGTCCCGTTACCCGTTGCCGGCTCGAACGCCTTCTCGATGCCGGACGAGTCCACCGGCTCCACGCGGGCCCCGCCGCGGTAATTGAGCGGCTGCGACACGACGAAGGTGCCAGTGCTCATGGCGGCGACAGGAGCAGACCGAAGAGCGTGGAAAAGAGGAGTGAGCGCGGCCACACTCGTTCGGAGAAACATGGGGAGCCGCCGGGAGGCAGAGGCTGCAAGGGGGGCGGGGCCTCGGGGCGCGCGCGGCCGGCGGGGAGGCAGTGCCCGAGGTGGTCTTCCGGGTGCTGAACTGCGGGAGCGGAGTTAATGGGTCCCCGGGCAAGGGCGGGGCCTTCCAGGGCGGGGAGGGCAGACGTTTGCGGGGACAGTTACTCGGCTTCTCCGCGGTCCCTGTCAGGCCTTCGCTTAGGCGGAAGGATGGGGCTTTACCCCAGGGTGCTCCACAGACACACACACACACGCACACACGCACACACGCGCGCGCGCGCTCTCTTTCTAGCTGTCCAGGGACTTCTTCCAGATCAATATTTGCGTAGTACTTTGCAAGAGTTTTCGGGTACATAATTGCATATAATTATCTTAGGATCTCACTCTTGATCCTACTGTCTAAAGAAAGGATTAGAGGATTAGAGTGCCAGGAATATTACTTTGGGGATTATTAAGCCACCATTTCTTTATATGTATACTTGTGGGAAGCATTCCCCCAATCTAGCTGCCATTGTATTGTGACAAGGTCTGGCAATGGAAGGAGAATCGTGCAAGGCACTTCTCCAGGGAACATAATTCTTTAAGCAGAGTCCTTTGTCCTTCTTTCTAAAGCCTATTACTGATTAACGTCTTCCCTCTGTCCTGGAAGCCTTGTCAAAACAGGCAGAACTAGCAATAAACATATCTCAAAGAACAAACAGCAGCCCCCAAGGATGAGGGGGTCTATATTCCGTTAATTATATACTCGCTGTCCTCCTAACTTCTTTGAAGACCTGAAACTATGTAACCTCTTCCTAAACAATCGATATGTATGCTGCACATCTGGTATGTAGATAACCACCTTTGATTATTACCTTTAGTCACGCACTGCCCCTTACCTATTGTTCCCATGACGACAATAGTTAGACCACCTCGTGTGATTTTTTTCCTATATAAGTGTACCCTGTCCCTGAAATAAATTGGACTTGCTTGCAACTGCTTCGAGTCTCACGTCTAGCACTTACACTTTCGCCGACGCCCTCTCTCCCGCGGGAACCTGGACTCTGCCGAGGCTGGACCCCGGCGTATACTAATACTTTTAAAAGGTATTTTAAAGAGTAAGGGAAGGACTGTCAAGAAGACATATGGGGATCAGCCCTGCCCGGTGGCGCAGCGGTTAAGTTCACACATTCTCTTGACCAGCAGTTAGTTCTCAGCAGAACGTGGTTGGCCGGTTCGGATCCCGGGTGCAGACATACGCACTGCGTGTCAAGCCATGCGTGGCAGGCGACCCACATATGAAAAAATAGAGGAAGATGGGCACAGATGTTGGCTCAGGGCCAGTATTCCTCAGCAAAAAGAGGAGGATTGGCAACATATGTTAGCTCAGGGCTAATCTTCCTCAAAAAAAAAAAAAGAGGATAATGTGATGTGAAGGTGCTCTTTAAATTCTAGAAGAGCTATGTAAATGCTATTAATGACAAATAGTGGCACAAACAGAAGCCTACCCAACAGGAGATAAAGAGCAAAGGCTTCATGAAAAGGTGTGAGGGAAAAAGCCCTTCTGTGCGGCCATTTGGAGGCCTCCCAAGGGCCCAGGCAGCTAAGGGATCTTATGCAAAAGCAGTCTTGTTCATTCTTCATACTGAACTCCCATGCATCTGCCACAGAGACTTCAATGAACAGCAATTAATTGCCAATTTGGATATTCTGTTATTTCTTGCAGGCTTGTTTCTCTTCTAGGGGCCGCAGTCTTTCTCAATGTTCTCTCCTTTACCTCCCAGCACAGCATTAGGGTTGTGGTTTTCAAGTTTAGAATACAAATGAACTATTCTGGTCAACTTTTTCAGCATTCCATACCAGTTTGTTAGCCCTCTCAATGCTATTGAGATTTGTAGGTCTTAATCTTCAAATGGAAAGAGCAGTTCTCAAACTCAGAACACCTGGGGCCAAACTCGGCTACTACCTTTGTTATTATTGGCCATTTGAAACAGAATTGAAACATATCAGGAGTTGGTGACCAGCGCTGTAGATCTCCAGGATTATGGGAGCAAGGATGGTCATTTATGTGTACAGAGACCATAATTGCAGATTTTGGGGGGGCAGTTCCTATTTAAAACATTCTACCCCAACAAATGCTTTTTTTTTTTTTTTGCTGAGGAAGATTTGCCCTGAGCTAACATCTGTTCCAGTCTTCCTCTATTTTGTATGTGGGTTGCTGCTACAGCATGGCTGACAATGAGTGGTGTATGTTTGCACCCGCAACCGAACCTGGGCCTCCAAAGTGGAGTGAACCAAACTTAACCACTAGGTCACAGGGCTGGCCCCCCAACAAATGCATTTTAACTTGTCAAATCATGACTCCTGATGTTTGGTTAGGAACGTTGTCATGACGTCTGTTGATATAATTAATAGATTATCGAAATAATCTATTAAAAATATTAGCAGTGCCTTACTGTTTTTTTCATATGATAATCAGAGTCATTGACTTTGGAATTTGTTCTTGGAGCTAATAATCCCAGGAAATGAGAGACTACTGACCTTACAGAAAAGTTTAGGACCTCTCTGTATCTGAGATAGCAGACGTATATAGGAATTATTTCAATTCCTTTAAATGTATAAGATATATGTGGTTGTGTTGGTGTTATTTTCTAGAACATAATAAAACTTTCATTATTTGCATGTATATAATATGTAGTCAGTTAAAAACCAACTTTAAAAATTTAAACAAGAATCTCTCTGTACTATTTTTCCAATTTCATAAGAGTCTATAGTGTTTCAAAATAAGCAGTTTAAAAAATAAAACAAGGGGGGCTGGCCCCGTGGCCGAGTGGTTAAGTTCGCGCACTCCGCTGCAGGCGGCCCAGTGTTTCCTTGGTTCGAATCCTGGGTGCGGACATGGCACTGCCCATCAGACCACGCTGAGGCAACGTCCCACATGCCACAACTAGAAGGACCCACAACAAAGAATATACAACTATGTACCGGGAGGCTTTGGGGAGAAAAAGGGAAAAAATAAAATCTTAAAAAAAATAAATAAATAAAAATAAAACAAGGGAGGCTAGCCCAGTGGCATAGTGGCTAAGTTCATGTGCTCCACTTTGGCAGCCCGGGGTTCACAGGTTCAGCTCCCAGGCATGGATCTACACACTGCTCATCAAGCCACACTGTGGCAGCATCCCACATACAAAGTGGAGGAAGACTGGCACAGATGTTAGCTCAGTGACAATCTTCCTCAAGCAAAAAGAGGAAGATTGGCAACAGATGTTAGCTCAGGGCCAATCTTCCTCAACAAAAAAATAAATAAATAAAAATAAAACAAAGAACACATGCTCATTATTGAAAAAAATTTTAAGTAGACATTTTTTTAAAAAAATAAAATTAAAGCAATTATTTTACTACCTAGAAATTATGTTAATAGCTAACTACTTATTGGATACTATCATACTTTACTATGTTTTACTTTATATTATCTCACTTATTCCTCCAAATGACACTATTGAGTAGGAATGATTATCCCCATTTTGCAAATGACGAAACTGAAGTTTGGCAAGACTGAGTAATTTGCCAGAGGGTAGATAGTAAGAGATAGAGCTGAATTTTCTCACATAGCTTAACTGTTTTCTCAGGAAAAAATCCTAGAAGTGGAATTGCTAGGTCTAAAGGCATAATTGTTTTAAACCTTTTGAAAGCAATTTGCAGGCAGCCTTCTTTTAAGTTAGAGGTACTGAGGTGTAGTTTACAATAAAATGCCCTCATTTTAAGGGGACAGTTCAGTGAGTTTTCACAGAGGTATACACTCTTGTAACCATCGCCTCACTCAAGATATGTGGCCAGTTTACTTTTTATTATGAGTGTGTAAATATTAGTCACCATCAAACCAAATAGTATATTTTAATTGTATTTGCTTTCTTGTACAACTTTTTTTTTGTTTTTCCTGGAGTTCATACTTGCTTCTAATTTTCAGTCGTTTACTTTTCTGTGAAGAGTTGACTGAATCCTTCCATATACTCTAGCAGCTCTGTAAAGCAATGGGCCACACAATTCTACATGGTTGAACCTATTGGATAATGTGTTTCGTTTCAGTTTCCCTTGAAGATATCTGTGTTGAAGCCTTCTGACCTACTTATCTACCCTGGACTGCTTGCTCCCTCAACCTGCTGCCCAGCTGTTGCCCTGGGACTGTCCTTTGCTGTCATTCCAGGCATTCATTCCCTTTGCCTCTGCCCTGTGGTTATCCTCTGTTTCCTGTCTTTCATGTCTTCCTCTTCTGTGGTGGACTGCCTTATTTTAACAAAGACATCTTCGGGTAGTAACTTGTCGAGAAGGGTTACAAGGAAGGTAGATTTTTTTGACATTGCCTGACTGAAGAATGTTTATTCTCACCTCATACATGATTGATGATCTGGGTGGGTATAAGTCGGTCTAGAATTCTAAATTGAAAATAATTTTCATTTAGAATTTTTAAGGTAATGCTCTATTGTCTTCTAGTTTATAATGTTGCTATTGAAAAGTCTGATATGTAGGTGGTTTTTCATCTGCCTTTCTAACAAGCATTTTTTTAGAACCTTTTCTGCACGGAGCATCGAATGAGACAATTCAAGTAGACAAGGCTGAATAAGTGTCGCACATAGTAAGAGCTTAATAAGTAGCTGTTTCTGTAGCCAGTCTCCAAGATGGCCTCAAATAATCCCTGCCTCCTGGTAGTCACACTGTTGCATAGTCTCCTCTCAAACTGTACCAGGATTGGTCTTTGTGACCAATAGAATGTGGCAGAATTAGTGGTATGTCACTTCAGGAATTAAGTTATAAAAGATATTCCTCCTGGCCAATTTCTCTCTCTGATTGCTTCCTGGGGGATGCCAGCTGACGTGTTGAGAGGTTGCTATGGAGGGGCCCACGTGTGAGGAACTGAGGCCTCTTGCCAGCAGCCACACTAGTGAGCTTGGAAGCTGACCCTCTAGCCCCAGCTTTCAGATGCTGCTGCTCCAGCCAACAGCTTGACTGCAACCTCATGATAGACACTGAGCCAGAACCACCCAAATAAGCTGCTCCTGTGGATTTCTGACCCTCCAAAACTGTGTACAATAATAAATGTTTGTTGTTGTCAGCTGCTAAGTATTGGGGTAATTTTTAT